TTCCTTCCTTCCTTCCTTCCTTCCTTCCTTCCTTCCTTCCTTCCTTCCTTCCTTCCATCCTTATTCAAGACAGGGTTTCTCTGTGTAGCCCTGGCTGTCCTGGAACTCACTTTGTAGACCAGGAGGTCTGGCCTCAAACTCAGAGATCCACCTGCCTCTGCCTCCTGAGTGCTGGGATTCAAGGTGTTTACCACTTGAAGTAACTTGAAATGTCTTAAGTTGAAGGTACGAACATTATTCCACACAATTTGGCTTGGCCGAGAGAGTTCATCACCGATTCGATTTAAAAGGCGTGAAGGCCTGGAATTTCACATTCATTGCTTTCCACTCGCTTAGCTGTATAACCTAGGTCAAGAACTTAACCTCACTGAGTTTCTTAATCACATGTAAAACCAGGCTCTCAAGCTCTAACACCCGTTCCCCGAATCACAGTCTGAGAAATACTGCACTGTCCTCGGAGGCCCTGCTCATCCCAAACTGTCACCTCCATCCGTCACAGTGAGATAGCGGTGTCTCCTTCTGCGGGGTGGGGTGTGGGGGGAGCCCAGAAGTCAAGATTGGAGCAAGGAACGGGCTTTCTTTGTTGGAAGGAAGGGAAGGCAACTTGGGCCTCAGCCCAGATCTGTTTCCGGGACCTTTGTAGCCTCTTGGCTAAGGAGCAGAACAGGGGAAGGACTGATGGATACAGCTGTGAGATAACTTACGGACAGGTCTTCCTTGTAGCACATGTGGAAGGAAACAAGGGAAGTGGGTTCTAGGTCCTCTCACTTTTAGTTCTCAGGACAGGAGGGGGTCAATGACCATCGAGGTGTGACTGAACACGCAGTCCCCCCACCCCCACCTTCTATGACGCCTGTGAGGAGTGACGAGGTCTCCCATGGGAAATGTAAGTGTGCCACCCTGCGCCCATTCATTCCACCCAACACATAGGCATCTGGATTCTGGTGCGACTAGGAGAATAGGAGTCTTTGGAAAGCCCCCGGGATTGTCTGTAGATCAGATTCGTCTGTTTGTACATATACATACAATTGGCATGAGTTCATTATGTGTGCATCAGAAGCTGGCTATGGAGTGAAGGAAAGAACTCACACGTCATTCTTAGCAGGCAAATTTAAAACATAGTATGGCTCATTTTATTTTACCTCCGGGGGGGGGGGAATCCACAAACAAACAAACGAGTCCCCCCAGAAGGAAAGGCAGTAGGCAGGGCCTCGGACAGGGCAGCTCTGAACTACCCAGGCTCGGGTCCATGGCTTGACATCTCTAATCTCTCTCCTGGGACCTAAGTCCATGCTCTGGCACCCTGCCCTTCATAGTTGCTGTCTTCCAGTCCAGCTTTGTTAGCTGGAGATAGCCCTATGACTAAGTGCATGGCAGCTTGGGCTAGCCCAAGAGGACCATCTGCAATTCCCTGGGAGGGGGGGGGAGGGTGTCACAGCAGGATCAACCACAGACCCAGCAGCCAGGGAGGGAAAGTCCATAAAATAGAAAGGGTTTCCTCACATTGTTATCTTCTTGAAAAACAAAAATAGCCCAAGTGCCACTTCTAGGCCAGCAGCTCCCTGAGCCCTAGACGGTCTGGGGAGAGTAGTGTACTATATAGCAGGAGGCCTTAAGTAGCCATACCCTCGACATCAGGCCTGGACAGTCCTCTAAGCCACAGCTGCTTGACAGAGACAAAACAGCTCTTTTGGATGCTTCTGGAGCAGGGGAACTGGGCCCTGCCTTCAAAGATGCTGCTGCTGCAGCCCCGACGGAACCCAAGGCCCTATAGCACGAAACATCGCTTCTTCCACCCCAGGCCTTTCTTACTGGGCTTCATGCTGCTCCAGCCTGATGCTCCCTCTTTGTAGTTTAAAGTGGGAGCCAGGTGCCCAATGGGTTTCCTAGCGTGGTATTTCTTCTCTTAGTGAGATTGGTCCAGCCAACCAAAAATATTAAAACGTCTTTCCCTCAGGAAGGGTCAAACTCTGAAGACCATGAGGATGTTCCTACTCTACCCTGGGTCAGATGATCCCCTTGGCCAGGGTGCTCTTGACTTTCCTGGTGCTTCTGGGTAAGAAGCTCCACATCCCCAGCAGACCCTTGGGTGTTCCCTCCACTCCCCGGCCCCAGGGTGTAGCCATTGGGACGACGTCCAGAATGGGGAGCACTGCCATTGGCCCATACCCCCATGGGGTGGCCATTGAGGCGGAGGCTGACCTGCTCTCCCTCAGTGCTATGAGCCCCCAAGGTCCAGGCACTGGAACCCCCTGCATGGAAGGGTTCCTGCCGCCTCAGGACGTGGGTTCGGATGATCTTCCGGAAGGTCTGGCGGAACTCCCGGATCCTGTAGGCGTAGATGAAGGGATTGACAACGGAATTGCTGTGGGACAGGATGATGGCCAGGTACATGAGCCATGGAGGGGCGTGCTGGCACGTGGAGCAGAAGAAGGTGAAGCAGTTGATGATATGCAGCGGTAACCAGCAGAGAGCAAAGAGGCCCACAATGATAGCCAGGGACTTGGCAGCATGGACCTCCTTCTGCAGCGTGGACCGAGTCCGCTCCCCTGGCAGGGGTTGGCTCTCCATCTGTTTCAGCTGTCTCCGGGCCGCCAGAAAAATCCGTAGGTAGATGGCCAGCATGAGCAGGAGGGGTAGTAACACGAAAGCAAAGAAATTGTAGTAGACCATGTAATTCATGGGTACCACGTCCTCAAACAGGCAGGTCACCCGGCCCTCGCCGCAGGTCTTTGTGGAGTTCTTGTCTCTCTGACTGCAGTTGTTCCAGCCCAGCATGGGGGTCAGGCCGATGGCAAATGACAGCACCCAGCAAATCGCAATGATGCCCTTCGCCCTCATACCTGTCACCAAGCCATTGTACCTGGGAAGAGAGGACTGGTATTAGACCCGATGAATCTAGCAGGACCAAGAAGTCCACAGAAGCCTAGACGGTCCCCTTGTGCTGGCTGTAGGGTCTTGAGCTACTTCCTCCCCCTAGCCTAGGTAGTATAGTCTTCTAAGTGAGGTACTGAGCTTTGTCTGTCTCATAGCTGCAAGGAGGTAACGGGAAGCAGACATCCAGGAAATGGGAACCCATCACACAAATGTTCAGGTGTTTTTATAGGTATTAGGTATAGTCTTGAGACTGTAGGTAATAGTCTTGAGACTACAGGTCTTAGGGGGATATGTTTGACTTCCACGATGGTTAAGCTTGATTCCTATTAGAGCATGTTTTCCTTTAGAGTAGGGCAGATCCAGAGCTCTGGAAATGGAACCAGCCAGATAAGACCTGTAGAGGGCCTGAGCCACTTACACTCCATGCCTTTTTTTTCTATGGTCCTCAAGAAGAGGCTACCCAGGGCGTGGAGGAGGAGTGGAAGTCCCAAATCTAATGAAATATCACCTCCTCTCCGAACCTACCCACAATCCTCTGGGCAGAAATGAGACAATTATGTATTGATATTTTCCTGGCCTTCATAATAATCAAGAGGCACTGAATGAGGTGGGAAAGAAGACAGTAATCAATTTGCCTGACGGCCAGATGACAATATTCTTGAGCTGATTGTCAATTCCGGGTTGTGGGGAGGGGGGCCTTGATTCGTCAACGAGAAAGTAGTCTCGACGACTCCACTGGAAATACATCATCATTTTGGGAAAAGAATGTTTTGTTTAAGTCTTCTTGATTTAAAAAAAGGGGACTTTTGGTAACGTCTAAGGGATGAGCTTATGTTTGACGGTTTTGATTCTGGCAACAGAAGACTACCCTCCCAATAGAAGCTTTTGTTCCTCAAGTTCAGGCTAGACATCTTGGAGGAGTCTCCTGCATTTATCTCTATGTTGTCAGCTGGGGGACAGGGGCGTATGGTAGGTAACAAGGTGAACATATATACTTTTTGATTCCAGACTCAAAGCAGCGACAGAGAGGCTGTGACCTACAGGTGACAGCCTCAGGTACCCACTGTTAATAATGGACATGAAAGGAAGGCTGGAATGTGTTTATCCAATCTTTGTCTCAATGTAACATGTATGCCTGGCGTTAAATAACTCACCTTGCATGCGTGAGGCTCTAAGTAGACGCTTCACCATAAAAGAAAGAAGACAGATAGACAGAAAGAAAGACAGACAGAAAGAAAGAAACAAAGAGAGAGAGAGAGAGAGAGAGAGAGAGAGAGAGAGAGAAAAGGAGGGAAGGAGGGAGGAAGGAAGGAAGGAAGGAAAGAAGGAAGGAAGAAAACGTGTACCCAATGTTCAAACCTCAAAGGGGGCTGGAGGGGTTTTTTTGTTTGTTTGTTTGAGGAAAACTTCTGTTTTAAATGTGGTCAATTAAGAAAGAAACAAAGAGGGAAAAAAAACCACTTATACTTTCTAACCATTTATCTAATCTGTCCCTCTGTTTTAGAGCTGGAGAAACTGAAACTGAGACCGTAGGGGAAGCAGGGACTTGCTGTGAACATTCCGAGACCCAGGGGCAACTCAAGCCCAGATGAATTTGTCAGCACCGGTTCCAGTCTCTTCCTGATGGGGTTGGGGATCAAATCCAGGGCCTTAAATAGGACAGGCAACCTTTCTGCCACTGCTACAACCTCAGCCTGGTCAATCCAGAATGTCAACAGTAACTGTCATATATATTCTCAGGAACTTCGTGGGCTCCACCAGGCGGGGTCTTGGTCACCTGCAACAGGGCCTCTGCAGGATGGTCACAGACTTCCTATATCTACCAAGTACCAGAAAGCAAGCCCTGAATGTCTGCTTGCCTGGAAGCTCAAAAGTGAAGTTCTGGGGTCCCCACCCCATCTAACACTTACATACTTTGTGCCAGATAACCCCTCAATAGTGCTTTTACGTGATCCTCACGGGAGGGGAAACTACATAAGTGGTCACATCTTTTCTGGGACAAGCGTACCCTTCTTGGGTCCTAGTCCTGGTACATTCCTGTAAACAGGGAATGCTATGTCACTTCACCTCTCTGGGCCTCAATTTCCTTATTTATGAAATGAAACTTAAGAATCCTAGACCATTCTCGCCACTGACCATAAGGGCACGATGTTGAATTTAGAGGCTGGAAACCCCAGGGAGTCTCCCTGTGGCTCAGGGTAGATCAGAGCTATTCAGTTGCTGGTCAGAGAAATGAGTTGCCTGGGGTACTCACAAGCCTCTGGGGGGATGGTGTAGGGTCTCCCACCTTGGTGACTTTGAAACTGTTTTCAGAACAGGCCTTCTGATCCTGGTAGTTAGAACGGTGGTACTCTTAGAGAAGGGATCCCAACTAAGTAAGTCTGAGTTATTACGTTGTTGTTGGAGACAACGGCCCAGGTCTGACAGCTTCTGAGAATACATCATGGAAATCCCAGGTTTGTCCAATTTACTTTTACAGACAGGGTACCCACAAGGGGAAGTCTTCCACAGCACTCTGGAAGAAAAGTCCCTTAGGGGAACAGAACCTAATATGTTAGATGTACTTTCTTATGTTGCTGAAGTACTGAGGGGCTTGGAGACAATGTTTAAGCACATGCAGGTATTATGTAAGCACACGTGCATGCGCGCGCGCGCGCACACACACACACACACACACACACACACACACAGACACCCCTCCCTCAATAGGAGCACGAGCTCATATTTCCAGCATTTGGAAACTGAGGCAGGAGAATCAGGAGATCAAGGTCATAGAACAGGAGCCTGAGGTCTAGGACAGCATCAGGGTTCAAATGGGATCACGAACAAACTAGAGGCATCCCAAGGGCATAGCCTGGCTTGTGTTTCTGACTAACACAGTCTCATTCTGGCCTTCTGGATAAATACACTCAGTGTAGCGAGAAGGGTGCTCAGGCTGCCTAGCATGACATGGGGACCATTCCAGGGAGCCTAGGAGACATAGGATGTGGCTGCCAGAGTCTCCAGCAGTGCCTATTTTCAAGTGGTCTCTACGTCCCCATATCCTCCAGCCTGTAGAGGTGGCCTTTCCCTGAGAATCCTGACTAACAGCCATACCGGGGGCCTCACCCTATGGCTCTAGAATATACCCACAATTCCAGGTGGGGTTTTCACGTATGTTTGCAACATCAAGGAGAAGGCGGGACTTTCTAAGTCAACTTACTGGGCCAGTGACCTAAGAATTGAAGGGCATCTAACCCCAAAGGAGAAATTCAACCTTCCACAGGTAGAGACCAGCCTAAATCAGCCTTACACCATACCTGGCACTCAGGAGCCAGGCCATCTTTCTCTGGCCCAGAGGAGAGACCATACCCACACGCTGGCTCACTCCTTCCTTGGGACATTTGCTTGGGTTTTATTCTCATGACATCCACCCCCCACTCCCCACATACAATTCGAGCTATCACTGTCACAACCACTGTGTACCTTGACCTGATGCTTATGAATGGGAATATCACAGGCTGGGGTAAGATTTAGAGACAGTGGTGTGAAGGATCTCCAGGAAAGGAAGCCTGGTCTCTTACCCCAGGCTTTTCATCCCTTGCAGACATAGGGCCGCATCTTTGCCCTTGGCCTGGTTTTCTTTATTACTCCTGAGGTTCTGCCTTAATTTAACAGGGTGCCTATGCTTGGGAAGGAGGGGACAGATTATCCTGAAGCTGAAAATTCTTTGCAACAACAGCGAAAAGAATTCCTGGTACATGGTGCGAGTCTGGGATTATGGCTCCGTCAAAGACTGAGCCTGTGGACCTTGCCAGTAGCACCTTAGAGGAGCCTGAATTACTAGCTGTGAAGGGGAAAAAGTTAGTCCAGGCTAGAAAGCACTTCCAGATCCCCATTGTGCCTGGTCCCCTGATCCTTCCAGAAATTCCTCATGCCCAGTCCCCTGGTCCCCTCCAGAAATCCCTCATGCCTGGTCTCCTGGTCCCCTCCAGAAATCCCTCATGCCTGGTCCCCTGGTCCCTCCAGAAATCCCTCATGTCTGGTCCCCTGACCCCTCCAGAAATCCCTCATGTCTGGTCCCCTGGTCCCTCCAGAAATCCCTCATGCCTGGTCTCCTGGTGTTCTCCATCTCCCCATCATGCCTGAGGAGCCACTATACAAGATACCTCCACATTCTCCGTCACCAGAAACTTCAGGAGGCGGGAGCGTGAAGGAGCTCAGTGGTCAAGAAGAGTGAAGGGCTCTAAAGTCCATCCAGATTGGGAGACACAAATATTCTTTTCTGGCTCTGGTCTCCCTCAAGGGTCATGACATCTGCTCTGGCTGAAATGCTGGACCAGGATGATCAAAGGACATCCTGTACTAACACGCCATGGCAGCTATAAAACTGATCATAGGCAAGAGGAGCATCCTCCGTGGGTATCATCAGCTCCTTGAAGAGACCAGCCTGGGCTTTCCAAGGCCCCATTCAGAGCTCAGATAGCCCAAGGTCCAAGTGGAACTGAGGTCGAGAGGTTCCAGGAATGCAACTACTGTAGGGATAGGCTGTTGGTGTCAAGCCTCCAGCTCACAGAAGAGTGGAATCCTTTCCTGTTACCCTGCCCCATCTCATCATTCCTACCCGCTTACTGAACCCGCAGACCTTTGTGAGGAACAACACAGAAACTTGACCTCTTGTTACCCGTGAGAAAACAGGCCCAGCATAGCGCTGCTAGCTTTCTATAGCCACACAACTCATTCCTATTTGAGGGATTCAGCCTCTTGATTCCAAGAAGACAGAGACAGGGAGAGGCTGAGGAGAGGAAAGCAAGCTGAAACCTTTAAATTGTGAACAGCTATCCTGATCTTTCCTGATATGTTGCTTCTTGGAGTTAGAAGATGGGGAATGTTAAGTTACTGCTTCCTCTTGGTGACCCACTACTACATAGACCGAGCTCCTGGGGTCTTAGATGCTATTGACCCATGGGGACTCACATACAGACTTCCCTTAGGCCTCTATGTTCTAATCTTCCCCTGCAGGAACCTAGATCTTGGTCTACTTCAGAAATATGAACTAGAAGCAATAGGACAGGCTGTCCCCACGTGTGACCTTTAACTCTGTCCCTTCTTAGAGCTGGCTCCAATCCCTCCCTTTGTTAGTTATTTTCTTTGATTATTTTTCTTTTCCTTGAACAGGGGTCTTAGACTCCTGGCTAGCCTAGAACTTCTCATTCCCAGGCTCTAGCTTTTGCCAAGTTCAAGGACATAAGCATGTGTTTGCTACCATGCCTGGCTGAAGTCGCCTTTGACAAAGTCTTTAAGGCAATGAATGCAAGGCACAGGCTCCATCCCCTTGAGCGGCCCAGTGTGGGTGTTTGCGTCTTCCTTAGGGCTCAGATGATAATCACAGCTGTGTGACATTCCTTCCTGGGGACTGAGCCACTCCAGACAGACCACTCCTCAAAGTGACGTCATAGTGGTGGTGGGCTACTCTTCCCCGCTCTGCTATCAACTCCTTGGACGGCTGTGGGCGAGCAAGGTCTCTTCTCAGAGCCTTCTTTTTCTATCCAGAAGACAAGAGGAAGGAAATGACCTCTAAAGACTCCATTGCGTCTGACCCTGAATTTTCACGGCACCCCGAGCCTGGTCCTTCTTATTGCTGGATGCCCTCAGTCCAACAGTAGAGTTGCTGATGCTTCCTCTGTGGACGGGAACTCTGCTTGAGCAGAAACACTCACTATGGAGACTATGTATTCCAATCTCCCACTATGGAATCTTTCTTCAAGGGCTTTAGCCGCCCTAGCTACAGGATCTAACTCCGGTAGAAAGACACAGAGGAGGAGCCCCTGGGAGAGTAGCACACTGCCTGGGTTATCTACAGGGTGGCTAAGAAGAACTCCAGGGTTATCTACAGAGTGGCCAAGAAGAGGCTTCCAGGAAGAACTTCTTTACACATCCTTGGCTGAAGTCACTTCACAGAAAAGCCAACATAAAAAAAAAAAATCCCCTTTGCGTAGCCATACCCTAATACTGGCAGAGAGTCCTCTCAGATCTAGGAGCAATGTAATTTGCATAGAAATCCAAATGACTCACTGTGGCATTTGGCCAAGTCACTTCCCCTCTCCGGGTCACCCTCCTAATGTACACACTGGGGAAAGGCTGATGGTGGCAGAGGCGGGTTCCTAGCCGAGGTTCTGTGGTTCCCCAATGGCTCCCCACCCAGCTCAGATCATATGCAGATGTATGAAGCAATAGCTCACACAGCAGCGGCATGTCGTATCAGCCAAGCTACCATCACTGAGAGTTAGCCATACACAGCTGCCTATAGACAGCCTCGACATGTGACCCGGGGTGGGGGGTACCCTGGAATTATAGGGATAAGCCAGACAGGCATAGCCACCTCCAGCTCTGTAAAGACTCAGACGGAGTCCCAGAGCCCTGCCCTTTGAGCCCACCGACCAAGCCTTATGCACAGACGTAAACCCCCCCTGCACCCCGCTCACCGGAGTGGAATTCGGATGGCGATGTATCGGTCGATGGCAATCGCCAAGAGGCTGAAGATGGAACTCTGCGTGAGGACCAGGACAAAGCAGGCGAAGAACAGGCAGCCGTGGCAAGCGGCACAGAAGCCGGTGCTGATGGTGATGGCGAAGGGGATGGCGAGCACGCCCACCGCAATGTCAGCCGCCGCCAGCGACACCACAAAGAAGTTGGTGACATTCTGCAGGTTGCTGTTGATCCAGACGGCCCAACACACGAGCACGTTGCCCAGGATGGCCAGCACGGCAATGGCCAGCTCCACCGTGATGTACACCGAGGAGCCCATGGTGGGAGCAGCCACACTTGGGCAGGCTCAGCAAAGATGCGGGCCTGGGCCAGCTCTCGGTCCATAGCTGCAGCCCAGCCGTCCCACCCACGCAAACCCCGCAGCCCTTTCTTCACAAGAGCCACGAGCGGTTCCAGAGAGAGCTCCCCAAAGGCGTTCTCACAGATGACTCTGCATCTCCCGAGATCATGACTTCTCCAGGGGAATCTGACCGGGTTCCGCTCAGCTTCAGAGTTCCGAGGTACCTGTAAAGAGAGAGTCCCAGTGAAAAACCGAACCACCCTGGCCACTTCAGATTCTGTGTCAGTTGTGGGCCAGGTGTCTGCCCGAGAATGACGCCCATCTTGCCCGATCTGTCAGTCAGAACACTGGCCCAAAGAGCTCACTGGTTCCAAAGAAGTCTTGTCAAGATCTTCACTCAACCCTTTTCAGGGAGGCTATTCCTTTTCCAGTCTCTTCAGGGCAGACACAGGAGAGAATACAGACAGAACCAGGATTTCCTGCTGATCTGTCTTCATTACCAAAGATACATCTTTCTCACCCCAGGTACTACAGTTACTAACCCTCTTTCCCAGCTTGGACCAGCGGCTGAAGATTTTGTTGTTGTTCGTTTTGGTTTGTTTTAATCTACAGGAGCAAGTTAAAGTCAAGGCAAGTTGATGTTTATGTCAGCTCCCCTTATATAGTTTTTCAAACTTTCTATAGCCACCTGGCCAGTCTTCTGGGTCCCTACACTCACTATCAGTCCCTCAAGACCCTCCCTCCAGGAAGGTTCTTTCCCTACTGGGCTTTCCCCATACCTCCTGCCCCCCAAGTCTTCTCACACTGAGCCAGTCTCCAAGCCCAGTTCATTTTGCCCCATCCCTTCAGGATACTACCATCCCCACCTGAGAGATGCCCTTGCCCCTAAGGTCATCTCAGACACTCTCCAGAGTTCCTTTCTGGAGAGATCTGGGAGCCTTCCTGTCCTATCCTCCAGTTCTGGCAAGTAAACATCCTTACCCTCGCAGGCAGCAAGAAAGAGCAGGGTCCAAGCCAAACCCACTGCTCCACTGCTCTGAGGGCAAGAGCGATGAGCACTCCTGCCAGCAGGCTGCACAGCCAGGCAGGGCAGGCGCTGTGATTGCTTCCCTTCCCTGAGGGATCCGCCTCCCGCTTTCCTCCCACAGCTTGTCTCTCCACACTTGTCCTAGCTGAGGCAGGGAATGCTGCTTATAAGGACTCATTGGAGGGCCATGTGCAAGAATGCTTTTCTTTCCCGGGCCTCAGTTTCTCCAGTCAGACTGTAACACCTTTGGGCCCCAGATGATACTGAGGGCTCATTTCAGCACTTATCAATAGATTTGGAAAGGCTACTCCAGAGTCACAATGACAGCTCACAGGAATAACTGAGAACCCCCCTGGAAAGGGGAAGTCTTTCTCTCTCGATAGCAGGCACCAGCTAAGCCCAAACTCCCGGGGGGCTCTACTTCCTGAGCTTACAAAAGCTTAATGTAAGCAGGACTCTTCCAAAAGCCTGTTACTCCCCAAGAAAGAACCAAAGGATTCTCTTCCCCGCCCCCCAGCCCATCAGTCCTTGACCGCTAATGGAACTCCACAACCATCAGAAGCTAGAGGCTAATTTTCAGACCCCTGTATATAGACAAATCTTTCCTTCTCCTTCTCCTCTCAAGGAGAGGAGGGATGAGTGGAACTGGAGGCCTGGAAAGAAGGGTCTTCTCCATCTGAAACTGGCCAAGAGGTAAAATAGAGGGCTAAAAGAAATGAACCTCCCGTTTGCTTCTATGATGCTGCCAGTTCTGCAGTGTAGAGACAGAGTGGATACAGCTGTGGCTTGTCCTTTGTCTATGAAGCTGATGCTGAAGGTTTGGAAGGAGAAGACAAAGTCTGAAGCAACTGACGGAATTACTGTTCCTAAGTGATGCCCTCGCTCCTAAGGTCAGGCAGAGACACCTATGGCTAAGTCCTTAGGAGTCCCAGCTCTGTGCAAGCTACTCGCCAACTAGCTGCTCGGAACGCATGTTCCAAAAGGAATGGCCAGATCTGGTATGGGTACCACCTCCGGGTACATACCATGTACCCTCTGCATTCTCGGCTGACAGTTTACACCAGCATTCATCAGGGGTCCATCTGACCACAACAGGTCTGTGACTGACTCCTGTTCTAGCTTTCAACATTTGAAGCAGCCGCAGGCTCAACTGTCCATTCAGGCCTCACCAGGCCCAGTGAGTCCCTGAAGAGCTACTGTGTCCCATGAATCCTGACTGGTGTCTCCTGGGGAGAAAGGATAACCGCTTATATCCCTCGGGGCTTCTCTAGTGGAATCGTCACTGAAGGGCACTGAGGCAGTTTGCAATCAGACAAGCCCATGCTAGAAGGCTAGCCCAGGTCTTAACATTTCTCTATCCTCAGGGTCCCCAGCAGGACAGTGGAGTATCATACATTTCTGTCGAGGTGAGATGGCTCCATCCCTGAGCCTAAAGCCCTGCTACTGCTGCTTCTGGTCACACCATCAGTATTGTCCGCCCCCCACAGTAACACCACTGACTCCATAGTCACCAGGACACCAGCTATGCAGGGGTCTAACCCAGACCCCCACCTTTTTTTTTCTGAAGCTCTCCCAGCAGCTTTGGTACCTGCCCGAGTATTCCCAGTTCTCAAGGTTCCTCATGTTCTGTGCGGGACCCATGTTGGATATTTCTGGATACCAGCACTCTTCCTTGACTGTGCTGAGGCTGTTCTGCTGTTCTCTAGTCTCAACACAGCTGGCCCTCCTGCCAGGCTGCCTTGCATTGGCTGAGGACACACTGGAGGTTCCTGTCCCAGGGCCCTTTCCTCTGCCCTTCCTTCAACATTCCTGCAGGCCTTTAGTTATTGCTACATATCCCAGGGGAAGCTCCTCTGATCCCGGAGCCACCTGGGCAGCTGCCAAACCAAAATCTTCTTTTCCTTTGTGCCTTCCCCAGTCCTAAGTCCAGGAGATCAGTAGAGCCCGAGGCGGCATTCTCAGGACAGACAGGAGGGAGGAGCCCTGCAGGCGAAGGCTGAGGCTGTCTAGCTGTAAGCAGGCAAACTAGCTCAGGGCCAGGGCACCTTGACTTGTGGATTTCTTTGTAGTACGAATGTTCCCACTGGGACAATTCAAACCTAGTAATGTTTCACTGACCAGACCGAGCAACACTCAGGACCAAGAGATGCTTAGCCGCTGCTGAACCACCAAGCTGCTGAACCACCAAACTGCTGAACCACCAAGCCCCGTGTTCTCCAGGTGGCCACTGATCTGAATACCAAGACTACACTGGGCCCCCCCCCACCCCCGCTGAGGAGGTTGTGCAAGCCATTTGGCATTTTGGAAAGTGGCTGAAAGCTATCTCCTTGATGGCCTGGTGAACTCAATTTTTTCAGACGAGAAGCCAGAACCCAAACAGGTGAAAAGACTCTCAGCTTTACCAGGAACGTTAACGGGTGGCATGGTCCTTAGAGAATACCATGGGTTGCCACAGAAGACTTCCCTCCTTGTGAAGCCTCCAGAGCACTGGTTCTTAACCTGTGGGTCTTGACCCTTTTGGAAAACCTCTATCTCCAAAAATATTTACACTGTGATTCATAACAGGAGCAAAATTAGTTATGAAATAGCAACGGAAATGATTTTATGGCTGTGTGTGGGGGGGGGTTTACCCCAACATGAGGAACTGTATTAAAGGGTTGCAGCATTAGGAAGGTTGTAAGCCTCAGCTCTGGAGTCACAGGAAGGCTGGGGCCCGGGAGAAGGGGCCAGTGTAGAGCCAGGACCTAGCAATTTCCTATCCCTCTCTGTTGGCTCTGTCGGACTAATCCTTGAGTCATCTGTTGCTAGCCAAGTGGGAAAATTAAATATTAATAATGTTGCATTTCCTTATAATGGTCCTTTGTTGGGGACAGGGTAGAGAGCAGACACTGTCCCATGTCACCTCCAGGCACATGCTGTGGAACATGTTTCAAGAAACTAGAAGGAACGGCCACCTGGCCACCCAGCATTCAGATGCAACACCGCTGCCTCTTCCTCCCTTCCCCTCCCATCCTGAACCAGCCACTTTAATTAAAATCATTTAATTCCAATCCACATCTCTCCTGAGCCACCGGAGGCTCTGTGTACACAGGCCTAGGTGGTGGCTCCAGCCCCTGCTGGATGTGTCTATGAGCTCCCAGGCAGGGCTCCACACACTGCTCCTGCTCTGGCTAAGCGGAGGGAACAGGACAGTACAGACACCACCCATGGCAGCTGCAGAGGATTTCTTCCTGGGCTCTAGAATCCCAGCCTTACTATTTTGTTTTGAGGCAGGTTCCTCATAGCCCAGGCTGGCCTAGAGCTTGCTATGTAGCCAGGTATAGTCTTGGACTCTTTTTTTTTTTTTTTTTTTTTTTAAATTGTAGGTATATAAGTACACTGTAGCTGTCATCAGACACACCAGAAGAGGGCATCGGAGCCCATTACAGATGGTCGTGAGCCACCATGGGGTTGCTGGGATTTGAACTCAGGACCTCTGGAAGAGCAGTCAGTGCTCTTAACCGCTGAACCATCTCTCCAGCCTGGTCTCAAACTCTTGATTCTCCCATTTCTACCTGCTAAGTGATAGTTTCACAGGCATGTGTCATCACACCAGCCTGCCTCTTTCTCACAGGGACAATGTTCACCAGCTACCTGGTTTTCTGTGTCACGGAGAACTCTATCAGCTAGCACCGTTGATCCCTACAGTCCTGGGGTCTACTGCAGGAGTCTCAAAGGACAAGAACCCTGGGAATTTTTCAATGACAGCTGCCATCTTAGAAAGTCAGACAGCCTGGGTCCTGGCTGGTGGCAGAGAAGTTGTTACAAGCCCTGGCCTGATCCTAGGACTTCAGCTCCCACTTCAGATGAGCCACAGGCCAGAATTCAGAATGCAAGAAACCAAGGCCGTGAAAGACGTGGTGTGTACCTTTAATCCTAGCACTCTGGAGGCAGAGACTGGTGGATCTCTGTGAGGTAGTGGCTGGTCTGGTTTACATAGTGATACCCTGTCTCAAGAAAAAGGGGGAGGGGTGAAATAAAAATAAAAATACCAAACACCAAACCCACAGGAGAGGAAGGTATAGCCCACGCAGTGCTAATTTTAATAACTCAAAAGGGAAGAGCCATAAGCAAGAAGGAGAGTTATCAGACTCGCTGGCACACAAGAGCGAAGACGAACAAGAAGCACAAAGTCTTGAACAGGAAAGACGGGGTGTGGGGGGGGTCAGAATAAAGAACACGCTGTTATGTGACAAGCTTTGGGCCTGCAGGTAAAGTTGAGAACCCAGGCCATGGTGGACGGAAGAGAGAACAAGGAGGAATTCTTACTGGAATCAGAGACAACGTTGGAATGAAGGAGAGCCAACATCTGTCCTTTGATTTGGAGAATGACATCAAACAAGAATTTCGATAGGATGGACTGGCATCTCCCCCACCCAAAGAGCAGACATATAGTGAGTGGCTCAGCAGTAACTGGAGCTTGCAGGAAGATCCCCAAACCCACCAGCCCCTCCCTCACACATCAGTCAACACGACGGGTCCCTCCCGAGGTTGCCTAATGCCACATTGACTGACTATGGGGTCTGGGTCTCATTTCCCTTCCTGATCCCTCTAGAGTTACATGGTACCCAAATTCTAATACCTGGTAAAAGCTGAGCCCCAAGTCCTCAAGCAGGTGACCAGTAAGTCCCTCCCACAACGACCATGGGTGGGAGGGACCATGTGGCTGCTGTTGTGTTCTTGGGGACAGGATGTGGGCAGGAAGGGAGAACCAGCTCTCTGCAGCTGGAGGCCAAGGCACTAGCTTGCCCTTCGCAATAACTTCCCACCATAAGCAGCCAGGAACCAGGCTACCTCAGTCTAGAGTCCAGGCTCTAGACTCAAAGGCCACTGGCCAGCCACATCTCCCTTCTCTCCCACTAAGAGCCCTAGGATGGACCCTGACACCCCCATTTGTCTAGGTCTGGTTCCCAGAGAGAACCACAGGTTTCCCCCAGTCCTGCGTCAGGTACCACTCATCCATTGCAGGCTGTTTCTCCAGTTAAAGCCCTTCCCTGGATCCAGGCCTCAAAGAAGTACTGGGAGAGCAGCCTGTGGTGGGAGCTGCCCAGGTGGAATCCATGCAAAGTCCATACCAGACTTCCCCCCACTGTGCCTTGGCTTCTTCCATGTGCACTGGTCATGGTAAGAGCATCCCATGAACGCCTCAATACCTGTGCCTCCCATAAATTGCAGATGACAGGTACGGTATCTCCTGGGAAGGGAACAAGGGATCCCTGGGTGGAATATCACCAGGAGGGTAGCCTGTATACTAGAAATGAGGGATGCAGGCTCACTGCTGTGGTCCTTAGGACAGAGATGTGATGATGCAGCCAAAGAGGCTGAAGGGAAAGAGCCAGCGGCTGCACTGGACCAACCTGAGTATGATCCACCTGAACTCTGTCACTGTCCCTCTGCCCATCAGCACTACCACTAGCTTGGCTCCTGGCTCCCGGAGGCCATTGTGAGGCCACATGCAAAGATTCCTGAAGCTAGAGTCTCTGAACAGAGTTATATGACATAAAGTTAGAGGTACCTGAAAAGCTGCATTCCTGTATTCCTAAGGTCCTGTATTCCTAGTGTCCAACCTCTTCCCAGGCCTGGAGTGAGGGCAGCTTCTCTTCTCCCCCATTCCATCCCTGCTTGACACCTGGAAGGATCTCAGAGCTGAGACCTCTGTCTCTGTACCACATGGCTCCTTCTTCCCTACCTCAGGGTCTAGGCCTTGCTCTGGGCATGAGCGGTCTCCAAAGGCTCCTCTCTGTACCTCAAATCTTCTTCTACTATTGGGGTCCCAGGGTGGACCTCGGTCCTAGTCTCAGGTTCTGTACCACCTCTGCTCTCTCCACCCTACAGACTACATCCCCCACTGAGTTCCCCAGGTCATGATCTACCCTTCCGTGGTTCCCGGCGTGTCCCAGAGCCCAGATTCTTCCCTGGAAGTTGGAGAGATTCTCTTTTACCAGCTCAGTACCTGCCTGAAGCAAAATCCTCTTCCCTTCAACTCTTCTATCGAATTCACCAAAACGCTTCCTACCTGTGTCTGTCCACCTATCTGTCTGTCCAGCTGTCTCACCCTCCACTGTCCTATGCACACACTACCCAGGGCCCTGGGCTGGGCTCTAGCTTCTCCGAGGTGAGGTAGCTCAGGAACGAGCAGGTTAGAGGCAAGAGCTGCTGACTGCAGGCAACAACTGAGAACCACCAGGGACTGTGGTCTCACGTGCAGGCCCTGGACTTTGTAGGACCGGATGTCTTGAAGCTACATGCTTGCTCCCAAACCAACTCTTGTTCATGCTTTCCTCTTCTCATAGCAATCTCTGCCTCTCCTTCCAGGGTTTCCCAGCCTAAGAACAGAGCCCCCTGACCTGCCCTCTAGCATATCCTGACCATAAGTCCCCCACTGCCACCGCTGCCACCACACCTTCCCCTGGACCTGCCCCCACACCCAACCAAAGATCATCTCTTTTGTTCCCCTCTCTCCTCCTCTACACCCTTGTGTGTTAGCATTACAAGAAGACCATCACTCTACAGATGAAAGACTGGATTCCCTCAGTCACCTAGTTAGTGTGCAGCAAGGGGCCAAGGTCAAACTCCAGGTTGGGACACCAAAATCTTTGACCCCATGGGCAGGACACTGGAGATCACCCGGTGCTTCTTCTGCCTGGACCACAGTTTGTCTCATATTCCTTGTGTGGGCTGACCTTAGCCTAACTTCAAGCCATGAACAGGAAGGCTAGCCCTGCCCAGAACAGTCACGGTCAGCCTCTAAGGGAATGCACGCTGGCTTGGGGTTGCTCAAGAGACACCAGAACTTGAGAGAACCTGGGAAGTCCCAAAATGCAAGAACTGAGCTTTGAGATCTTGATATCATACTCGGGGACACACCAACCTTTGAGCAGCGACTACAGAACCAAACAAGCAGAGCCTTCCCAACCCGGTATTTCAAAGAGCTCTCTGCCATCATCTTAAGGGTCCTGACACCAAGGACATCCTTGGTTGGGTATAGACAATCTCCTGAAGGGTACACGGGGTCTAGGAGTACAGAGGGAGCTGGGCAGTAGAGGCAGAGTTTAGGGCAACGAGATATGAGTTCTAGGTAGAAGGACAGAGAACAGGCTCCCATCTCAGGGAGACAAAGTGCCCTCTCTGGTTGGGTAAGGACAGGGGTCCAAATCTCTCCCCAGCCATCAAGAGAATATATGCTCTGCCTGCCCTAGTCCTGGGGAGAAGGAGTCCTGGCGACTGCCTGCCTGCCGCTACTGTTGCTCTGGACCACTGTGAATCCCTGTTCCTCCTATTACATAGGCGGGCAAAATTAGTCTAAATGTTCCTCCTTGCCCATCCTCTGCCAAACCCTTGAGAGTTGTAGCCGTTCCCGCCATTTCTACCCCTGCTTTGGACACTCCAGACACCCACCCTGTTGTTCACTGGACTCCCTGCAGTGCCCTAAGTAGAGTTCCCGCCACCACAGTCAACAGGATGCTCCCCTCCCCCGGGTTCCAAACTCCCCTGCTCTTGCCGCGCCTTCCCCGCAGCAGCCTGGTGCCCGCTTGAACCCCTAACCCGGGAGTCTGACCCGCCTACCTCCGGTCGCGCCTCGACGTCCTCAGCCTAGCTTTGGCAGGGACGCGCCCTAAAGGGACTTGTGTACTTGCAGGTTCAGTCCTCAGCGCAGGGACAAATCGACGGCTGTAGCCGTGCGTCGCCGGCGGGTCTAGACGACTTTAAGACATCCCGCCACCCTGCCTTTCTCGAGCCCCTTCCTCCCTACCTGCCCTTTGAGCACTTTCCGGTTGCTGAGGATCGCCCCGATGGCACCGCACTTGGAATGTGACCGCGCCGAGGACCCAGGCTGCAACCGCTCCCGAAGCGTCCAGGGCAGGCTCGGACCTGGGCACCCGCGGACCCCTCTCCAGACAGCAGGAAGGGAGGACAGAAGTAGCAGGGACCGGCGGGCGCTCCGAGGGGCGGGAGGACCCTGGTCCGCCCAGACCTCCAGGCTCCGCAGCCTCCGACGGCCACAACCGCCAAGACTCCCACCCGAGACCCCCCTCAGGGTCCCCGGGACCCAGGACCCCCGCTGACCTGCCTCTTGCTCTGGCTCCCACCGTCTCAGCGGCTGCTCAGGCTCCAGCTCCGGCCGCGCCACTCATGGGCGCACCCTGCAGGCGACTTTGAAATCAGCGCTGCTCCCGCCCCGCCCCGTTGCTGGGGGGGAAACCGAGGCCCCGAGGCGGGAACCAGAGGAAATGGCCCTGGGAGGGCTAGGTGGTGATGGGTCCGGCAGCCAAGCACCCTTCGTCCCAACGTGGGCGCTTCAGGTCCACGCGTCCTGACCGCCTCCTCCAGCGCCACTCCCACCCCCACCCAAATGCCCCCACCCATGGAGCCTTGGCGCCCCACCCCTCTCCGGTGGCTCCTCCACAAGGCATTAGGCTGCCTATGCCACTCTGGTCTTCCCTGTTTTGCCCTTTGTCGGAGCTAAGCTGCCCTGATGCTGTTATGCCCCAAGCTGCTCCACACCCGACTCTAGGCCGGGGCTGGGGGGGGGGGGGGGGGGGGGGTTGGTCCTTCGCAGTTCTTATATCTCGGATGCCTGTGAGACCGTGACTCCTCCCCCACATCCTTACTTCTCTGAACTACTGAGCAAAGAGAGAGTGCATCTGCACCACAGCCTCACTAGGACTCTCAGACTTCTGGGCTGGGAATCTCCTCCTCTTGGAACTGGGGGCGGCTGGACCCCAAGTCTGCATGGAATCTTGTCTCTCTGGAAGGATTTGCAAATCTCAATCTGTTCACAGCAGGACAAGTCCTTTATACTCCCAGGCATCGATGGCCAAGGCCTTTCTGGAATCTTGTCTTCTAGAACCTCCTGGAACCCACAGGCTATCGGCTAGAGGAAAGTGTGTCGAGAGGCTGGCTGAGAGCCAGGCTAGACCCCACACCTCCACCTCCGGGCTGCGGTCTGGATGGGAAGGAATCTCGCAAGTGCAGGTGCCTAGCCCTCCCTCGGAGAAGCCTGATGTCTGCCTTTGAAATGGTGATTGTCACTTACCAGGGCTTAACTTTGCCTGAGGGAACAGTCTCTCAGGCTCATTCTTCCACAAAGTCTGACCTTTTGTTTTCCATTTGAGGAGCCCAGACCCTTTAGTGCATCTGTGGGGGTGGAGGGTGCGCGTGTCTGGTTAGAGCAGGGACCTTTGTGCAATTTGAATTAAACCTGAGATCCCCTGGAGGGAGCACTTGAGACTGGAGCACTGCCGTCTTACCTTCAACCTCCAGGTTAAGCCTACAACCATCATCAAGCAGGACCAGTTCCAAGGGCTGCCCCGACGCTGGCGCGCACTGCCATGTGCCTTCCAGGGATGTAGTTATTTCTGTTTAGCCACCTCCTAAAACTTACCCAGCAGCTAGTAGCAAAGGAGTAAGGATGAGACCCAACCAAGCTAGGGCCTATTCTCCAACTGGACTCTGCATCCTTGTTTCTGAGTTCTCATGGGGGAGCAATGCCATCCTGTCCATCCCTGTCAAGACTCTTGTCCTGGAATGACTATCTTGAAAATTCCCCTTAAAGGGAATATGGGGACTCATGAAGTAGAGGCCAACACTCGGCCAGTTCTGGGGGGCGGGGTATCCCTCCTGTTTTCTGATGCTTCTCTCTCAACCATTCCAATTCCAGGGCCCAGCATCTTTCTCCAGGAGCAACCCCACCCTACCCCCCAGCAGTGGTTCTCAACCTGTAGGTCGAAATCCCTTTGGCAAACCTCTATCTCCAAAAATATTTACATTATGATTCATTCTAGCAGCAAATTACCGTTATGAAGCAACAACGACAAAAATACGGTTAGGGTCACTACAACATGAGGAACTCTATTAAATTGTTGCACCATTAGGAAGTTTGAGAACCACTGGGCCAGAGGGTCTTGACTAGCCCAGGGAGTAAGGCCTCCTTTCCAATACTGGTCCTCGGGAAAACAAAGCCCTTGCTGTTCACCCTTAGGTTCTGACGGGTAGCATCTCACCACAGAAACTGTGTCCTGTGGCCATGACAGTCAAAGCCTGCTTGGCTTCAGCTCTGTAGACGTATGTGTCTTGAAGCTGTGTAGAGTTACAAGGTGGCTCAGGCTTACCCAGCCAATAAAGGTTCACTTTGGTCTTGGCCTGACTCCCTTCCCAGCTACGTGTGCTGAAACCAAACAGGAGCCTCCCTTGAAAAGGCTTCAGAGGCAGAAGGTATAGGCCTGTTCCTAGTGTGGGTCTTGCCCCTTGACAGTGCACATAACCCCTAGAAGCCTGGTTTCTAGCTCTGGGTTTTGGTTTGTCTGTATAGCCTCAGGTAGTCTTTGAAGGTTACAGCTACCCACCCTTCCTTGTGTCCAAGTCCCAACTCCTCAGTCCTAACCATGGGGCCAGCTGGGCTCTGTCAGGTTCCAGAATTCCACTCTCAGACTACTCCCCCACCCCACCCCACCCCCAACCCTTTGTTCCTGCCCAGGATGCACCTGTGTGGCCTCTGGCCCTCATTGTTTGCTCTGGGGCCAGCTGAGCCACATCAGGGAACAAGACACGCCAAGACTAGGACCAGGGACCTAGTGGGCCCTGGGCCAAGTCCCCCAAGAACCTCAGGCCACCCCAAGTGTTCAATCTTCTTCCTGTGAGCGAGAGGCTTACGTTCACCCTCAAAGGGACACCCTGAAAAGGCAAAATAATGCCAGAGGAAGCAGCCAAGTCCAATGTATGGCTACTAGGGGCTGTGTGCACAAGTCCAAAGCATGGCAGACAGGAGGGCAATCCCTCCCAACCTGTAGCCTTATGGGAAAATACTCCAGCCTACACCTACTTCTTACCGTTGGGGTGAGAGTCACTGGTCAGTAGTCAACCTTGGAGCTAAATCTGATGTGGTACTGTAGACAGGAAAACAGCTGAGGTGTGTGCAGCCGCCTTGCTTGGCCTCATGGTGGAATATGACAGCACTCTGCAGCTCCTCAGACTAGGGTTTGCCACTTAGCACACCCAAGGATGGCCCTAAGCCTCCTCCTTGTTCTCCCAGTACCTCAAGTCCTGGGACCCAGTAGGCCTCCCTCACATTAAAGGATGCCTGGCAGTGGGATCCTGCAGAGGTCAGAACAGTTCCAGCATATCCCAAATGTTGGGGTGCACCTTGAGGAGGACCCTGGGGTCCAGCCCACGCAGAAACCGCATGTAGAGCACGCTTGTTCACAGCCACAGGAATCACATGCACAGCATGCTTGTTCACAGCCATCCTGAGATCTTGTTCTCCGTCTTCTTAGGGGTCAGCTCCCACAATGCAGAGACCCTGCTGGCCCTCCTCCCATACAGGGCACGGCACACACCCTCTAGGAACTTTTGTGACAAAGACCAGCCCTCCCAAGCTGCTCTGGGTAAACCACGTGCCTCTGACCCACCCTGGTGTCAATGCATCCCCTAGAAGTGTGGCTTCCTTTCCTCTATCCCCACATGGCCTCCTGGGGAATCCAACCTGCTGCTGTCAGAGTTCCACCAGAATAGAGTCACAGCAGTCTGGGACTCCACCCTCACATGGTAGTCTGGCATTGAGACCATTCACATCTGACTACTTCCCACTGGAGGGATACAAACAATACAGTGACCACCCCACCCCCCACCCCCGCTGCCCGCTGTCCTGAGACTGGGAAATGCTAATCTTGTCAGGATCAGGCAAGAGCTGGCTACTGGGTACCCTGGCTCCCAGAGACTATAGGTTCAGGAGTCTTGGGAACTTTTTCTAGTTACCTCTTTCTTCCCAGGAACCTATTTTCCTTTTCTAAAAGAGCTGCCTCTCACAGAAGGGCTGAACCCCTGGCCCCCAGCCCCTAATCAAGGTACTGGCTGGGATAGGCAACAACAGGTCGATGATAAAGAAAGATGTATCACTGTGGGACTCCTGGCAGATAAACTAAGTTACACAGGAGCCCCTCGGGGCCAGCATATGACAAGTGGGCAGGGTTGAGGAAATCCCTTCTCTGAAGGGGCCCCTACTGTCTCAGGGACAGACCAGAGCGCCACAGGCAGGGTCAGCTCTCCTCTCGCCCACAGCAAGTTTTCAGTGTCTTGCTTGGGACACAAAGGCAGTGTTCAGATACTGAGGGAGAGCGGCAGCATCCATTGTCTAGCCTCTGCCATGACTGCTCCAAGAACTCAGCACAGGCACTCTATTCTAGGCTTGAGTGAGGGTCTCATGGGTTGTCCTGGGCACCTACAATATTGGCTTCACTAGAGGTCATGGCTTGTGGGCACTCTGAGAACACATCCAAGCTCAGGCCAGCAAGAGTCTTGAACTTCCTGGGACCCCCAAGTCCTGGAGAGTAACAGGCCCAGGCAGCTTATCATGGATGCCCAGAGTGCAGGTGGGTAAGCCCACAGACTTTTTTCTGCATGTGTTACATGCGAAGTTGAAAGACAGCATTATCTAACCTGGTCACACTGGATTTGAAAACACTGCCCACAAGTACCAGTGAGTTGGGGTACAGCTCAGAGGCACAGTACTTGTATGTCATGTACAAGGTCCTGCTGAATTTGAGCCCCAACATTAAAACAAAAGGATGCACAGGGAAAAATTACTTATGTAGCTGCCTCTATGTAGAAATCCCTGCCCCTGTAATTTTATACACCTGAAAATCCAACTCTAAGACGTTAACATTTATAAATAAAAACCCTTGGGACATTCTGATAAAACGTGTGGGCTCTCTGGAGGCCTCACTCCTGCAGGGCCTCTGCTGTTGGAAACGCTGGCTCGAAGATAGGATCTTGATACCCGGCACAGTTACCACGTGGTTTCAGGGCAGGCCGGGACCTCTGGACTCATCCATTTCCTCCTCCCTCTGTCCAGACCTGCCTGGGACCACATGACAGCGTGCTAGAGCAGGTGAACCTGAGGCAGGCACACCTGCCTTCCACTCCAATTCCACAGGCAGATTGAGAGCTAGGATTTGTGTAAGGTCAGAGGGGCAGCAGGGAGGGAGAACAAACTAAGAACTCAAAGCATGACGATTGAATACATTCAAGAGTATTTACTAGAACAAAATGACAAAGTATCATTCATCAGCAGAAGCCTGTGACTGCGAACAGTAGAAAGGTAACTGGCCCTTTTGTAGTGAAGCTTGTGCTTTAGGAAAGAGAGGAGAGCTTACATCTTGGAGCTTCCCAGGAAGCAGCCCCAGAATGAGAGGACCTCCAAATATCACCTTTTTGGGGGACAGGGTCTCACATGCCAGGGCTGGCATCAAACTCACTGTGTAATCAACAGTAACACTGAACTTGTGATCCTCCTGCCTCCGTTTCCCAAGTATTAGAATTATGGTATGCACCACACTCAGTGTAGGTGGGGGTGGTGGGGATCAACCCAGGGCCTCGTGCACTGTCGACAGGTGGTCTAACAACTCCCAGATACTACTGTTAACAGCACATGGCTGTCTACAAGCATGCTCAGAGGGCCAACAGTGCTCTTCAAGGGGCCTGTTAGAGAAGGCAAGAAGCAATGGTTGGAGACAGTCGTAGACTTGTGGACCCTCACACAAACATGGGCAGCCTGGCCCTCGCTGTGATGGGCACCCAGTCTGTGTGTGTGTGCGCGCGAGAGCGTCTCCTCTAGCTCCCCATCTGTCCCTGCCTCTGGCTCTGGGCCTATCCCAGGCCCCCAGATTCCAGAACAGCAATGTTATCTCTCTATGAACATACCCCTTCAGCAGCAGCCGACTTACTGCAAATCCTTTCAGAAAACTCTGGCAGCTTCTATGCTGCCATTAGGCCCATATTGCCAGCAAGGGACAGAAATTGTGAACTGCAAGCCCAGGAATGTCTCTTTAACAAGATACGCCTTTTTCACGAGAATAAATAAAACCTGGCCTCAGACCAAACACCTTGGTGCACAGTGGACAGGCCTCAGTGAAGGCAAATACAGCAGAGGCTGGAAGCTCAGAGAAAGTCAGTGGAGACTCATTTGGAAACAGTGATTCTCACATAATAGTCATCCCGACAGGAGTTCATCAGCAAAACAAGAGCAAGAACAGAATTGGGCCTAGGAGGACCAGAGAGGCACTGGGACAGACAGAATAACAGGGGTCTTCTGGTACACTCTGCAGCATGAGCTGCCACATTTGGACATTTAAGCAGGGTGGAAGGGTGGGACCGGCCATCTGATGGCCACACATACAGACATAGCCCACTTCCTAATAACTACTTTCTTTCACACTGCTTCCTTCTCTAGGTCCCATAGATACAACAGATTCCCAGTCTGTAGCATTATGCTTGAATACAGAACCTCACTCAGTCCATGTTTGGCCTGGCATGCCTCCTGGGAGACATTCCCACCATCCATCTTGTTACTAAAGCTGTGGCCCCACTTCTATTGATGGCCAGTCTTCCGCACGGTGCCTTGCAGGTGGCAAATAAGTGTATCCTGGAAGCAACAGGTCTTGACACTGTTCAAACAACAGCTTCTGAGTCAGGCACATGAAATAAGGGCTTCCAATTCTCGAAAAGAGGCTGCTCAATTCCAGCCAGAAATCAACAGAACCGAGTAAGGCCTTGGCTCGTGATGTAGGCCCCATAGCCCAGGCACAGCATGGCGTCACCTCTCCTAGAGTCCCCATCAACATGCAGGATACTCATGCAGGTGTAGGCTCAGCTGTCCTGGTGCAGGGCTAAGGCACTGTCTTAACTCCTGCCCTGGAGGGGCAGCCATCATTGTGACGGGACTCTCTGGCTCCCTAAAGCCCGTCTCTTCCCTACTGCATGAGTCCTCACTCTCACCATGCTAACACCCACAGTCTGTGTTTTATTTCTATGCTTACTAAAACAATTTAACTTTGGTACTAACAGAATAGGAGCTATTTCACCAATATTGCTTATAATAAAACAACAACTTCAATGAGGAGAACTCCTGTGACCAGTCTTTTCCCTGGTGCTACTGGCAAGTGGCTGAGCACCCACTGAGTGTGCCACCTGCTTCTTGCTGCTGACAAAAATCTGCTTGGTGGCAGTGTAGACTCAACTAGCTGTGGGCCTTATAAGGTGGGTTTTAACACTCCTAACTTAACTGCATGGGTTAGGATGGTCCTCTCGCGTGGAAGAGGTGCTGACCCTCTTCTCTGACACACTCCTAGAACCCAGGCCCACAGCTCTGTCCCAGCACTGGGAATCACGTGGATGGCAGTCAAGGAGTTGGATAGCTAAAGCTTTCACTAACCCGTGGTCCCCACAACTTAGTCCCTTTTCCCAGGATGAGCCGGGCACAGCCTTTATGGTTTTTTACACTCCAGGGCACTGATGGAGCTGGATGGTCTCCAGAAGTGGGCTGGCGGTGTGCTACACTTCTGCTCCCCAGGACAGCCATGTGGAAGAGCCCTGGGCTGCAGTTCCAGTTCCAATGCAGAGGCCTAGAGCTGAGCACACTCCCTGCTGGGAGACCCAGAGTCGCTGAAAGCTTTAGGGGTTCTAGCTAATGGTGTTGGTGTCACTTGGTGACTGCAGAGGTCCCTAGCTGAAAGCAGCCGATCCTGTGTGCTCAGGTTTCAAAGTACTTGTAGATGGCCGTGACATACAGCATGACGTTCTGCCAGTCGGGCCGTTCAGTGCGTGCCATTTCATTGATGTCCTGTGGAGAAGGAGCTGAGTTAGGACTCGTTTTCCCTCCCAGGCCACCCCAATGGGCTTCTAGTCCCAGGAAGCAGCAGACAGCCTTTAGTCTAAGGCGTGCTGCTTCTTTCAGAGTAGAGGCCTCCAGTACTTGCTCTATCCCCAAAGGTCCCTGTGAGCATCTCCTTCCTCAGTACCGGAATCATCATCCCCAGTCACGATCCTCTCTGCCCCAGCCACAGCTTATCAAGTGGAAACCCTCCTCAGACATTCTAGGCTGTTCTCTGGAGACACTTTAGGGCTCACAGCACCATGGTTTGCCACAAACTATCAAAAGACTTTCTGTTTCAGCTGCCTTTTGCAGAGTACTAGTGATGTGTGCTGTGGAAACAGAGTGGCTCCCGCCCCGGGTCTCAGCACCTGTAACAAGTGCCTGCTGCAACTAAGGAGCAGGGCCAGGTCCTCGGAGAGACTATTCCAGTCGAGGAGCCCAGAAATGTCACTGAGCATACGGGATGAGAAGGGCTGTCCTGAGCAAGTTAAGACAGGAAACAAGTCAGTTGGCTTGTGAACAAATCTTGACTACAAGATTCTTTGTTAGGCTTAAACACCTAGCCATTTTTTATGTGTGACAACACTTTGTACATGGTGTGCAATGTTCTACTACAATAATTTTATCTGATCTCTTCCTATACAGCTGGATAGAAGCTAACCCAAGCAAGCATGCTTCTACGAGTTTCGAAGACACACTATAGGTGAACACTTATAGTGTAACTAATAATGTAAATATTTCTTCCTGTCACACAGTTGCTACAAGTTAAGGAAATGGATACCTGTAGCTAAGGAGACAGACCTAGAGACCTGCAGGTCTCCTAGGATCCTGAGAATGTTCTGGTTTCGCAGGATCCTTTCTTTTGCACACAGCCCTGAGCAAGGGGTCTGGGCACTGTCACTGTCACTCACGTGGAGCAAGTCCCTTGGTGCAGAGGCGTCTCTCTGCATCTAGATGTGGTGGGCTTGGAGAGGACAGTGAGAGCTGACAGATGTCTGTTTATGGGAACCCAGCACGGGCAGGGCAGAGCCTAAGAAAGGACCCCATTTTCCACAACTTGTGTTTTGCATCATAAGAAGCATTTTCAGCACCTTCTTATGGCCCCTGTGAGGAACTGTGGGCAGTGCCATCAACTTCCAGATATCTTCTGGGCTCAGGATGCCCTTGGCCTCATCCTCTAGACCAGTGGTTCTCACCTCTCCTAAGACTGTGACTCTTTAATACAGTTCCTCATGTTGTAGTGACCCCCCAACCATGAAACTTTTCATTGCTACTTCATTTGTTTGTTTGTCTGTTTGTTTTTTCCAAGACAGGGCTTCTCTGTGTAGCCCTGGCTGTCCTGGAACTGACTCTGGCTGGGATTAAAGGCATGCGCCACCACCGCCCAGCCTCATTGCTACTTCATAATTGTAATTTTGTTACAGTTATACATTGTAATGTAAATGTCTGTGCTTTCCAATGGTCTTAGGCCAGCCCATGAAATGGCCAATCAACCCCTAAAGGTGTCACAATCCACAGGTTGAGAACCACTGCTCCACACCAACAAAAGGCACACAGCCCTGTGGCACTTTTGCCCTGAACCCAAATATTCTGCTAAGAACAGACAATCATGAAGAACAGCCTTGAATAAGGGCTGCTGGGACTGTGGTCAAATCTACCTATTCCTTTGTATCCAAAGGAATACTTCCTCAAGAGAAGCACTCTGTGCAGCATCTGAGATCCTGCGAGTGTCACATCCCCAGCCCAGTGTGACCACTTTTCCTCAGTAAGGGCTTACCAGAGTGGACTTGATCCCAACACTTTCAGCTGCCTGGAAAGCCAGGGTGAAGTTCCTTTTCTGTAAGAGAAATCACGTCAGTGGGCGTGTAGACAACTGAAGACCATGCAGGACGACACTAACCCTCAGGGCCTTGACTCTCCTCTGCAACCAGCTCCAGTTCTACCTACTTTTTCCCCCTCACTCAGAAAGTTGCATTCTAGCAAAAGGGCTGAAGTCAACTGGAGACAGACCCCCAAAGACCATTGAAGCAGACACCTATCCAAAGACCATTCTCCCCTGTGGAATCTCCAAGGGTTTAATACAGGGCTTGGCTGCCATAAAGGAAAGCAGGGGGGACCTGAAGAACCTTCAGAGTTGGACACCTTGAACCATAACTGTGGACCACAAGACTGGTCATTTCTGAGGCTCATGGTGTAGAACAGGCTTTGAACAGAAGTGCTGGTCCTAAGGTGATAGGAGGCTAGGCCAGGCCAGCTGGCACTGCCCTGACCATTCATGTCACTATTATCTTTCTTTGGGACTTATAGCCCTTGATCCTAAATGTTGTCAACCAAAGAGAGCCAACAACCCCCACCAGAAATGCTGTGGCATGGGCAGTGGGCAGACCAAGGACTGGCCAGCTGAAGTGTAAACAACGCATTCAGGGGAATGAGCCAGGACAGGCTATTGTGAGGCAAGGCTGGAATGAGCGACCCACCACCAAGGCAGCATCCTTCTGGCTCACCTTATCTTGGCTGTTCAGCTCCTGATAAGGTATGTGGGCTGGGAGATAGGTGTGAAGCAACGCACAGAAAGCCAGCCCGTCGTTCCAGCTGCTGCTGAAGTTTGTGATGTCAATATTCTGAGGGAAGAGAAAAGAGGGATGCAGCGTGATCTTTCTGAGGATGAGTATGATCTGATCTCTTGGTTCTCAAGAAGGCAGGGCACAGAACCCCACCCCCACGCCATCACGTGACCTCACTCTGGGCCATGTCCAGTGCTTACCCTGTGACCATGACTAGGTCTTTATGGATCGCCCATTCTACCCATCTACCCACCAGTTTCCGATTTGTGTTCCTGCCTGGTAAAGCCTGGGCCTGAGACACAATCTATAAGCTGCCCCACACATGGCAGCCTCTCCAAAGCCTGCTGTGGTATCAATACAGACTGCCAGATGTGAATGACAACCAGTGAGGTTCCTCTCGTTTCTTAAAGCATTTAAAAGGTCTTCAAGCTAGGCAATGTGGCACGCACTTGTAATTCTGGAATTCAGGGAGACTGTGAGTCCAAAGCCAGCTTGGGATATACAGGCACTGTAGGACTCTGACAGCACCAGCAACCCTGCGGAGACTCCCCTGTCTGCCTGCAGGCTGTGTGAGGAGCTGCAGAGACTTGCCTTTGGGGAACAGTCGACAAGAGAGTGGGCTTGTTGATGACACTGCTGCCTTTGACCCATGGTCCAGTAAGGAAGCCCAATCAACGCCCGTCCTTCTTGCCACTGTGCATCTCAGAGGTACACAGACACATGCATGCTCTATACATGCTGTGCACGGGGACAGACATGTCCACTGATGGTGTCAAGCACCCCTGACACCCCGAATCCACCAGGCGTTGGCACACACTGTATGACGAGCTCCTGAGTCCTCGTTTCACATCTCAGTTCACTGCGTGTCTCCTCCCACTGCACTACGAGCCAGTCTCCTGAGCAGTCCAATTTCACTACGTAAGGCAAACCACCGAGCCGGAGAACCCCATAGCTATACGGAGCTCCAGGCTAACAGCTGGCAAAGCATTTACCACTTCCATTTCTTTTCATAAACACTGGACACCAGCTCTGCACCTGGAGGCTGTCCCCACGCTCCAGTGTCTAACAGTTAAACGGTCCCTTCATGGAGCAGCATGGAGCCCAGCTCTCACCAGCTACACCACCAAGCGCATTCTCTTGCCCCGTCTGTGTACACAGAGCACTGCCCTCGGGCAGCACCTTCACCAAGCTCACCTTGCTAAGTGCAGAGGCTCCAACAGCAATGGGTGACCTGACCACCTGCTGTTTCCCACTTCTCTAGCTAACTTCAACCGCTATAAACTTGTATGGAGAAGGATGGCAACCTGACTGAGCTTGGAAGGATGGGTGGCGGAAGCTGGCAGTGGCCAAAGTGCTGCACCTTAACAGTAACTGAAGGGTGCTCCCACCTCAGTAACTGAAGGGAGCTCCCACCCAGTGTGAACAGCAACTGAAGGGAGCTCCTACCCAGTGTGAACAGCAACTGAAGGGTGTCCCCACCCAGTGTGAACAGCAACTGAAGGTGCTCCCACCCAGTGTGAACAGCAACTGAAGGGAGCTCCCACCCAGTGTGAACAGCAACTGAAAGGTGTTCCCACCCAGTGTTCATTGGTATCTTTCTTCTCCAGGTCTCTGGGTCTGATTAGAAGCCTCTGTTTTGGTACCATACTGACCATTTTTCTGTTCTGGACATTTTTTCCCTCCCCTCCCCACAGTCTCTACTCTGGCTAATAGTTACTATCCCCACAGGGTTTCTGATGATATTCTAGTCACCTGGAAATAAATGGTGTGTAACAGTTGCCAATAGAAGATACCTCCCCTCCAAGACATAGATGTACACAATGTGTAAGAATATGTTCATGTGCAATTGCCTCTCTGTCTCTTTTCTCATCTGAATCTTAGCAAGCAGCCATCTAAGGTGGCCAGCTCCATCTGAGGAAAACTGGGACCTAGGAGATGAAACACTAACCCAGGGATCTCTGCAACAGAAGAGATCACAGGGACTGGAGCCTTTGTCTCAAACACTACAGAAAAAGCATCTAAGTCTTGCTTAGCTGGAGCTTTCTGTTACTGTCATTTTTGCAGCACTGGGCTGGGATCCCCACAAATGCTAGGCCATGCTCTACCTCTGGGCAGCTCACCCTGGAGCAGTCTTAAAAGAGGGTGGTAGCCTCAGCCTTAGTTCTCACTGCTGGTAGCTTGCCTATAAGGTACGTCAGACAAAGACCAGGCCAGGCCTGATGAGCGGCATGGTATACAAGCTCCCATATAAGATGAAACTGAAAGGTCTTTTGTTTACAGAATGCTATGGAGGAAAGTCCACTAATGGAACTAAAATGAAAAGAAAAAAAGAAAAGAAAAACTCTTTTTATGCTTCCAGGACTTCCATCCAAGTGACTGAAGCAGACGCTGAGGCACAGGCCTTGAACAGACAAGGGGGCAGGAAGTGTTTTAGTGACACACAGAGGTCTGTGCTTGCAGACCAGCAGAAGTATCTCACTCGAGGTCACTGACTGCTGGAGAAAGACAAACCTCTTCTTCCTGTGTCGGTGCCCCTTTTGCTCCCGAGGACACAGCGGTTCTCACAGAGTTGTGGACGTGCCTGGCTTCACTGCACTCACAGCAGAAGCTCCTGCACCCCAGCAGCCAGGCTAAGGCTGGCTTCCTCCAGACAAACCCCACCCTGCTGGGGGAAAAGCTGCTGGTGCCTCTTTACCCTGTTCCTCCCCTCAAAATAGACACAGGATATGGCTCCTGGATGAACCAGGATTCCTGGGGTTCCAGGTGAGAGGTGCTTTTGATAGCTGAGGATAACATTTCAGATCAAAATAAAGCCCAAATGTAGACAAGCTGGCTGACTCTTGAGCCCCTACCCCCCCACCCTGGTGGCTGGAGGTGAGCTACTTAGAAGTTAGGTGGTGACTAAGGACAATGAGTCCATTAAGCAGTGAACCCAAGGAACCAGTTTAGTCTCTGCTCAGAACAAAACACTCAAGGATGCTAGGCCTGAACACAGGGATGCTCCTGAGGAAGTGGGGAAAAGCCCACAAGCCTGAGAGCGCAAGTCTACTGCCCCCAACCACTATCGTTGTTTGTAATGGTCAGGGCTGAAAGTTTTGCTACAAAGGTCTGCAAACACTGGGCTGGTTTGCAAAGGGAAAAAAAAAAGGTCAGTGCTAGAAACAGAAGAGCCCCCAGCCACATGTCCACAGGTGAAGCTCTACATGCCATGGCCACTGCCGTCCAGTGACATCATGACAAGACTGGCAAGCAGCTTGGAGAAGAACACCGAATAATAACAAGTCATACCAAGTTATCAGAGAAACAGCTTTTCCCTTCATCACCCATGTCTAACGGCTCCGCCCTGCAGATGCTACCATCTGTTCCCAAAGCTGGACTGTGAGTGGGCTCCAGGTTGGTGGGATGGGGGAATCCTGGGCCCTTCACCAAGTCTGTTGCCACCAGAACCAACCTCTCTCTCACTGTTTCTTTTATAGCCTGATGACCGAGTGCAGCAGGCGCAGTCTGATGTTCTATCTCTGCAAGTACAGAGCTCAACACCCTCTCTCAGGTCAAGAGCAAAGGCAGCCAGACTTGTCTGGGGACTGCTGCTCTATATAGCCCAGTTGTCACTTCACCTGCTCACAGTGGCCAAACAAAACAGCAACCTGCGGTTTTCTTGTCAACTAGTTGGTATAAATTTCAACTGTTTGTGACTCAGAAAAAACCCAACTCAACACCACTGTGTGAAGCTTGTGGATGGGGGAGGGCTAGGCCTCACATTTCCTGAACACATAAGCAGCTGTCCCAGGCTTCAGTAAAGTAGATATATAAATGTCAGTCCACTCTGATGATGGACTGCTAAGCCTTTAGGAGACACCTGAAGAGTCCACGTGTCTGTTCACTACGAAGCAGCAGGGACTAACACACCCAATCTATCATCATTTGTTTCAAAACAGCAAGATGAGTATGGCCTCCTCAGGTGGATCTGTTTTCTGCAGGCCTTAAATAAAGCTTTATGAGCTTATCACGGAAATATTAAGGAAAAGAAAGACACAAAGTGAATGCACAGGGAAAGGGGAACAAATCTGGAAGGAGCTGTGTGTGTATGTGTGTGTGGGGTTATGATCAAAACACATTATATGGGGGCTGGTGAGATGGCTCAGCGGTTAAGAACACTGACTGCTCTTCTAGAGGTCATGAGTTCAAATCCCAGCAACCACATGGTGGCTCACAACCATCTACAATGAGATCTGATGCCCTCATATGGGTGTCTGAAGACAGCTACAGTGTACTTACATATAATAAATAAATAAATCTTTAAAAAAAAAACACATTATATGAAAGTCTCAAAGAATTAAACAAACAGAAAGTAAAGGGGACTTGACTGACAACCTGAGGAGACAGTGATGACCTCAGGTCTGCACCTAAACACTAGCTTACATGGGAGCCAGCACGGGGACTGGGAACTGAGCCTGCCAGATGACCTGAGAGGAAGGGGTGTGGGGATGCAGTTGTTCTTTCTGAGGACTATTTGCCCATTCGATGGATCCTCACGTGAGGCCAGGCCCTGGAGTCAGGCCTTGACACTCAGGGGTGGTTGACAAGTAAAACAGAAGCCCGCATGTGACCTGACACAGTCCAGAGCCAACAGAAGGCTGCCAAGTGAAGTGTGGATGAATGGACTCAGAAGAGCCAATGGGAGCTGGCAGGCTGGGGCTGTGTTAGGGGGCTGCTGACTGTAGAGGCCTGTGACAGCAGAGAAAAGGGAGTTAGGCTACAGATGGGCTTGGAAACAGGTTAAATACATGACGGGAAGGGCATGTAGTGCTAAGGATAGCCCTTAGCTTCTCTTGACAGAACCACAGACCTGTAGTGACCTTCACAGAAGCAGAACTCACTGAAAACAGGGTTTGAGCATACAAGGAGGTACATTTTGGGAGTGTTGACTTTAAGGTACTTTGTAAATAGACAGAGGGGGCCCAGAGGCACTAATATATGGGTGCAGGGGTCATGAGAGAGAATTCAGTGAAAGAGTAAGACCATCAGTGTCCCCAGTGGAATTGCCTAGGAGACAC